ATACCCGACGCGCTGCTGCAGTTGTTCTGCACCTCGCCCGTTTCTGTTCGCATGCTGCAGACCAGCAATAAGCAGACGCAAGCAATCCGAGCATCAAGGACGCAGAGCATCCAATATCGACACCACCCAGACGAACCAGCCCATCAGTCGGCCAACAACCTTCATTCCAGACGATCTTCCAAGTCTCCCCAATCCCTGTCCCACACGCCAGACAGCCCACGGCTCGACCCCGTCGACGGGCAGCCCGTTCGCAGTCTGCATATCGTCCACTTTCACCATACACTCGCTACCCGCTGAACGGCTAGAGTTGACTGTGAACTGACCTCACCTCGCCTCCTCAATCATACCCTGCAATGGCCTATTCATAACGACGTCTTCACAACTCGCCAGGCTCACAATATCCGAGATTTTGGAGAAGAAGACGACGAGGAAGGAGGTACCCGATTTCATCACGTCACCATCCGATGACCTCGACATCAGCCCTGGCTCCCTTCCCTTGATGGACAGCGCTCCTACTGCCGACTTCAATGATCCCTTCTTCAGCGCCAACAGCCACAGATGACCCGATGGCGACACCTTGTTCCCAGCCTTCATCCATCTACTGCGATACCTGCGTTGACGACGTCGCCGCATGGAGGTCCCATGGCCCGAGGTACAACGACTTCCGCCCGGCTCTGCAGAGGACGAGGTACCTGCCCAACCCGGCTGCCCACGAGGCGCTGTGCTAGGAACGGAGAACCCTGATCGGCGCTGTTGTGGATGCAAGTACCAAAGTACCGCAAGCTTCTTGTCTTTCACAGGTGCCAATTGCAGCCACTGAAATTGCCCGTTTCTTTTTTCTCTTGCTGCGGCGCTACTCGTCTCTCTTCTTCGACCAGCCCTAGAGTCCTAGACTACCTACCTGCCACAGCTCCCTGTCTCGACCTCCGGCTATCGGTCTTCAATCTGCTGCTTCGGAACTATTCGCCGTCTGCCATTGGCCAAAGCTGCTTGCCGCAATTGTCAGCATGTCAAGCCGAGAGAGCGATTACGGCCCACGCTGCTCGCTTCTATTTCGCAGTTGCGAGCAATTGCGCTGGAACATCAGAGCTACGTCGTTATCATGCTGCAATAACCAGCAGCGACAATTATTTCCAAGACCTGTACGAAAGGGTGGTATTGTGCCGAGCAGACCGGGCCCAGAAGGTGTGCTTTATCGATTGAAGGTACAGTATCCGCCACGCTATGCCACACTAGCAGCCGGCCTCCCGAGATAATCAAGCACACCTAGTCGCTGTTCTTGTCTCTGATCCAGGGCGCAAAGAGAGCATGGCAGTCAAAGGAGCTTCAGGGCACGCTGGCTGTGCAACACGAACGCCTCGCATGGTGGGTGCTATGTTCTGGCTTCCACGGCACACTGGCATGGCACCTCATACACCGTCTTTGCTTCGGATCATGTCCCAGCTGAGTACCAGCGGGAACTCAATTTCACAGCGGACGCTGGGCCCGGGCAAGGCTTGGCTCACTTCTGGAACAACCCCGGGCCTTGAAGCACAAGACGGGATGCTCCATCCAATCCACCCTCCCGAAAAGCCAGCCAACGACAGGCCAGGCATGTCGAGTGATGCGACTGGACGCGGGCCACTCTACGAAGCCGTATTCTAGCATAGCGGGTACAGATACCTTGGGCTCCGTGCGGATAGTAGAGACGACGTCTCAGAGTCCCAGGTAGCGGCATCATCTTTGCCTTTATCTTTGAATGCTTATGAATCCCAGTCATTCTGCGCAAAGTGGGCGTGATATGGCAAGCGTGAAGATGACAACAACGCCGACAACGGGTGAAGACGCAGGGCTCTTCCACTTGTGTTGGTGTTGGCCTTGGGAAACCGGCGTACAAGCCAACTGACAAGGTCAGTCGAAGGGCGGTGATCCCAGAGGTTCTGGGTGAAAGGCCTGGGGTGGCTGGTTGAGATGCCATAGGAACGGCTTCGTGCCGGCCAAGCAGGCAAAGTTTGTTTGGCCAAATGATTTCCTTTTTATTCTGCTTCATCTCTGCCCGCTGGCATCAATCAAATAAGCTCGTCGAGGGCCTTCGCGTCGGAATACCGTCCGCCTCAGTGCCGAGACGTCCGACCCCCGATACAGCTGTCGCACGTCTATCTCGCCATCGACCAACATGATAAGCTACGGCACGGACATAGGAGCCCTGACCTCGAGCTGGAAAAGAGGCCCGGTCAGCATCGGTATCGCTCTCAGAGCTTGCACACCCCAGTAATAAGAACAGAGAACAGACCTCTCCACGCACAGGACAAGCATCTGACCCGATTACGTAGCACAGAGCTGTCTCTGGAGCCTCTCTGAAGTCTGGAGTTTTCAGGCTTCAAGCTTCAGGCTTCAGGCTTTAACCGCCTTATTCCGCGCTGCCCCAATTATCTTGCAGTGTGCTGGGTCGTTTGCAGCGTGCAACGGTTCCCCGACCAGCCTCCCCTTGTTCTCTGTGCCCCCTGACCAGTCTCTTCTAGGAGTTAGCTTGGCCGGGCCTCTAGCCTTGTAACATGAATGCGGGAATGATAGAGGAGTAGCGGACGACAGCAATGTCTACCTGACCTCTTACTACCTACCAACGAACGGTATTATTTAGGTCGGCAGGGAAGGGTAGAGCAGAGGGAAATAAAGCTTACGAAGTAACGGAATTCCAAGCAAGATGGAACGCGGGAGCGCAAGCTAGCAGCAGGCTAGGGAAAAAGATGCAAGGTCAAGTGACTTTGGCCAACTGGAACATCAATTTGCATCCGTTGGTAGGGTGCCAACAATAGTAAGGTAGTACGTGATGCGTCCGAAGAGCCGATGCTGGGTGACTGCAATGGGCGTCGCAGCCTGCCTTGCCTAGCTTTGATGGCCTGTCTGATCCTGCCGCTGGCTCTGTTATGCCTTGTCCTGTCAGATTCCCATCCAAGGCACGAATGCATCGAGCATCCAGTTATTGCAGTCCCAAGCCCGGTCCAAGTTTCGTCTCGCCTTCCTCGTGACGATTGACCCCTCTATTTCGACACAGCCCACGCAGCGGCGTAATGAGCAAGCAGCAGCCGACGCAGGAAGCGAGCAGCGAGTCGGGGAAACACTTTCCTTTTTTCGCAAAATATAGAGAGAAGGCAAAGAAGTGATACTTTACTTGAGTGTCTTATGTGACTAAGGGGAAGGAAGGCAGGCGGGCAGGCAGGCGCAGCTGGAGACAGACAGCAATGTGAAAGAAGGCAGGCAGGAGACACTGGGTTGGAGGCAGGTAAGGTAAGGCCGGGTACATGGCCTTCCCAGTCAGGTGGCAGCGTCGCACTGTGGTCGGGTACATCTGGCAGGTATCGCTGACCTGCTGGGGCCAGCTGGACGTGGACTGGCCAAGTGTAGGTAGGCACCTAAGTAAGGTACCTACCTACCTTAGGTGGACGTGGACCGGGGCGAGCTAAGGCATACGGAGGACCCACCTTGCCTCACCTCCCGTCACCTTGCCTTTTTGCTCTTGCCTCCTGCCTCTCTACGTGTTTCCCATGAATCTTTCCCGGTCTCTGCCATCCCACTGACCGACCGACAGACCCTGCTTCCTGCTAAGGCAAGGTAGCGTAGCGTACAGACGGATGCAATGTGCTAGTGCGATTTGTGCTTTCCCTGCCTCTTCTGCACAGTACCTACCTGCCCACGTACTGCGAAATGAGATGCGCCTGTCGATACCTCCATTGCTAAGGCACGATACCTTGCCTCGACGTACCCGTCCCACATCCCATCGCAACCTCATCCCAATCGTGGAGGGGGACGGTACCTCGAACTAGGTACCCGCCCACACCCACGCCTGTGACCCGACCTTCACGCACACAACGCACACTCTCTCACACACACATCCAAGTAGGTATTCGTACCAAAGTACACCTTCGGTCGCCCTCTTTCTCTCACTTTCGCCCGCCCGCCCACCAAGAAGACAGTGGAGGCAGGCAGGGGAGCAGCAGAGAACTGGAGGGACGTACCTTACCTACCTTACCTAGCTGCTGCAGACCAGACCAGACCACACGAGACAGACAGACAGACGGCCAGACGCAGGCTCCCCAGGCCCTGGCCCCAGTCAGTCCAAGTCCCCCAGTCGCAGTCCATGTCCACGTCCAATCCCGGCCCAGTCCAGTCAATCCAGCAGTAGGTAGCAACAGCAGCAGCAGCAGCAGTAGCAGCGTCTCCCCATCCTGTCCTTCCCAGTCAGTCAGTCCAGTCCCGGCTGGTCCACTCACTCACTCGCTCGCTGGCTCGCACACACACACACACACACAAACACACTCACACCTACCTCACTCGCGCTTTCCACTCCCAGATGCGCCGGGCTGGGCTGCGCTGCGCGACCTGACGGCACTTTACCTAACAAGTACCTCAACTTCCCCTTCCCACCACGACCTTTTTGCTCCCCTCCTTCCTTTCTCTTTTTTGTTTCTCCAAGCAACTGCTTCGACCGGTGGGAATTGTTTGTTCGACGAAAGCCTCAAGGCTGCGACCAACACAGACCAAACTTGATTTGCTGTTCCTCGACTGCCTTCCTCGTGCTTGGAAATAGCATGCGACTGTCGGCTTCAGACAACAACTTCTCCCTCTTGTCTCTACCTCTTTCTCCCTCCCGCCACTACTAAACGCCGCCTCTCCCCCCACCACCCACCATCTATCTACCTATCTACCTCTCTTGCCCACCTCACCACCTTACACCAACCAACCTCAACCTCAACCTCGACCTCGACCTCGCCTTCCTTCAACCTCCGTCAGTCAGTCTCTGGTTTGGTTTCGCACTCTCGCTTGCCGCTCCTCACTTGCGCACTCTTCCGACCACCGCCCACCGAGCTGCTACGCCCACCCAAAAAAGGAACCTCCTTCCTCCCAACCAACCACCCCTCCATTCCTCCTTCACGACGAAAACGACCGGGAACGACAGGCGAAAAAAAGAAAAGGCGATGGCCATGAATGATACGGAAATTAAGGTCGAAAAGAACACAAACATGACGACCAATTCCTCTTCTCCCGCCGCTGCAGCTACTGCTGGCGGTGCTGCTGCTCCCGCGGCGGCTGCTGCCAACGGTGCTGCCCCGGCCACCGAAGATAGTGGTATGAGTCGCACCTGCACAATTGCATTGAATCTGCACTGCACAGCACAGCCCACCAACACCCCTCCAAACCTGCCCCTCCTGTTCCCACCCGCGTGTCCCGCCATTCAATCCCACCACCACCACCACTGCATCGTCGCCTCTCTTTCCCTGAGGAATACCATGTCACTGCTGAAACTGAGCTGACAATAAGTCCTTTTTGGTCCATACAGCAGCAGCTTCTACTATTACCGTGAACACGAAGACGCCTGCCAATTTTCCTCCCCCCAAAACCGATAAGCCCCGCCCTCATGTGTGCGCGACTTGTCAGCGCTCCTTCGCCCGATTGGAGCATCTGAAACGCCACGAGCGCTCCCACACCAAGGAGAAGCCTTTTGAGTGCCCTGAATGCACGAGATGCTTCGCTCGTCGCGATCTGCTGCTGAGACACCAGCAGAAGCTTCACCAGACGACCACCCCTTCTTCGCGCCCCCGCAATCGCCGTGAGAGCGCCAGCGGCGTTGCACCTGGAACGAGCCGCGCCCGCAAGAACAGCGTCGCTGGTCCCAACGCTGCTGCGGCTGCAAACGCCGCGGCTTCCATGCGTCCCAGAGCCAACACCATCAGCCATGTCGACCAAAATGCCATGCAAATGATTGCGGCCGCCAATGCCCAGGTAGCGAGGGGCATGCCGCCTGGCACACACAGCCGTCACCCTAGTTTGGTGGGCTTGCCCGTGCACAATATGGACTTTGGTGGCATGTCAGCCGCCATGGGCCAGCGCGGCATGGCTCACGGTTTGCCAAAGCTCGAGACGCATGGCATCAACAACATGGACTTCAGCGGCTTGCGGACCGCTCCGCCGATGGCCGTGTTCAACCCGGACTTCGACTTCGAGGGGCTGTTGTTCGGCCCGGGCTCCACCATCAACCCTAATGCTCTCCACTATAACGACTCGCCCCAGTCCATGGCCTTGGATCAAGCTTCGCCCTTCCATGGCCTGACCAGCGACATGTCGTCTACTCAACTGGACGACAGCTTCGACTGGTTGACCGGTTTTGAGCATCAGATGTCGTTTCAGGGTGCCGACAATGCCGTAGACGGATCCAGCCCGTCCGCCATCAGCACCACCAGCCAGAGTGGCATTAGCGATGTCATGGTGGACGGCTCCAACCACCCCCCGGCTGGCACCAGCTCCATGTGGCAGCCGGCCGTAATGGGTCCTCCCCAAGTCCCGAACCCTTTTGCCCTGGACATGAATGGTTCCGTCTTTCCCGATCTCATGAACGGCGCCCCCGTGTCGCCCCAGCCGTCTACCCAGAAACTCAATGATGCCTACTTTTCGACGCCTCCCCCTTCTCTGAGCTCTTTGAGTCCGTCCATGGTCTCGGGTCTAAACAACACCCAAAACTTGAACCAGGCGCTCAACTTCAACAATGCAGGACCCGAGACCCCCTCGTCTCTCAATGGTGGAAACCATGGCGTCTCGCCTGTCTCCACCATCACGGATACTACCCGGAGTGCCATCGTCGGTGCCCTTTCGCAGTGCGCTCCTTTTGGTGGACGGAGATACTCATTTGCGACCCCAAGCTCGCCGTTGTCGCCAGGATTTCAGAACACAGCCAACAGTGTTCCTGACCATGTAAAGAATTTACCTAGCACTCAAGACTTACAACGATATGTTGGCGCTTATCTTCGTTACTTCCACCCTCATCTGCCGTTTTTGCACATTCCCACTTTGAATTTTGAGATGCCGCCCTCCGCTACCAACCGATCCAACAGCGTCGGTGGGAGCGGGTGTCTCATCCTTTCCATGTCTGCCATTGGCGCCTTGTACGAAATGGACCACGTCCAATCTCGGGAATTGTTTGAGATGGCCAAGAAAATGATCCAGTTGTATCTAGAGGAGAGGCGGAAGGCCGATGTGAGAAAGGCAGACTTACGCAGAACTCCAGCATCCGAGCCGAACTCTCACACCCAGGAATCCTCAGTCCACACCCCGGTCTGGCTCGTCCAAGCCATGCTTCTCAACGTCGTCTACGGCCACAATTGCGGCGACAAGACAGCCAGCGATATCGCCTCAACCCATTGTGCAGCCCTTGTCAGCCTGGCTCAGGCTGCCGACCTCCTCCGTCCTATTCGCGTCGAGTCTAACGAGACTCATGACACTCACATGCGTGATGATGCCAACTGGCCCGGCATGCGAACGGATTCTGAAGAGCAGGCCGAATGGATCCAGTGGAAGACGATGGAAGAGCGCAAGCGCACCCTTTATGTCGTCTTCATCCTTTCCAGTCTCCTGGTTGCAGCATACAACCACACGCCCGCACTCACCAACTCGGAAATTCTGCTTGACCTGCCATGCGACGAAGAGTTCTTCTCCGCTGAGAGCAGTACTGCATTTGCGGCAAAGGGTGGCATTCGCGCGGCTAACCACAATCGCATGACATTCCACGAGGCTTTGGGGGAGTTGCTGAGGACGAACGAAAAGCAACAAAAGCAGAAGGCTTTCAATGCGCAGCAAGGATTCGGGCCAGGAGTTAATATCCACGACATGCCCACCAGCGACTTGAAGCCGTCTACGTTCGGATGCTTGATTCTGATTAACGCGCTGCACAACTACATTTGGGAAACCCGACAACGCCACCACAACAAGGTCTGGACAAATGAGGAAACGGAAAAGATGCATCGCCATATCGAGCCGGCCCTCAAGGCGTGGCAGGCGGCATGGGCAAGCAACCCGAACCACAGCTTGGAGCGACCGAACCCCTTTGGCCTGGGCCCGCTATCTGCCGACGCCATTCCGTTGCTTGATTTGGCCTACGTTCGTCTTTTTGTAAACTTGGCTCGATCAAAGGAGAAATTCTGGCAACGCGATTGGGACGCCATGGCGGAGGAGCTCTCGCGAGGTAGCGAAATTGTTCAGCACGCCGAGCACTCACCCGCCTCAAACACTGAATCAAATGGCACAGACCCTTCTGATAACTCGGTCTCCAGCTCGGTCTTTGCCGAATCGCCAGCCACGCAGTCCTCATCCCCGGAATTCTCTTCGGCAAAGTTTCCACCCCCGACCCAAGCCGCTCCGCAGCTCACCAACCGCTCTACATCGCGCAGAGAGAAGCACCTAAGGAAGGCCGCCTTCTACGCCGCTGACTCTCTCGCGATGTCCGACAAGCTTGGTGTTACTTTTGCCGATTTCTCCAGCCGCGAGCTGCCTCTTCAGTCGGCAATGTGCGCTTTTGACTGCGCTCAGGTATTGGCCGAGTGGGTCGCGACTCTGCAAGATCGCATCGGGCGATATCTGGGAATTTTAGGTCAAGATGAAGTTGATCTATCCCAAGTACCAGCAATCATGCTTCTGGAGGAGGAAGACGTCAAGTTGTTGGGCAAGGTTCAGGAGGTGTTGGCCTCGGCTGAGATGAAGATGAATTTGGAAGTCGTCCAGGGTAGCATTGTGGGGGTTGATGCTAGGATGCAGATGGACGATCACACAGGATACGCAGCCAAAATCCTGCGTGTCACAGCTTACATGCTCGATAAAGCTGCTGTTTGGCCAGGTAAGTTGCTCCAGTCAGTCGGGACGGCCTTTTCTAACCCACTACAGTCACTCATCTCATGGCCCGATGCCTCGAGACTCACGCTACTCACATGAGAGCCCGAGCCGAAAAGTCCGTCATTGCATGCGAATAAACAAAAGGCCAATTGGAAAGGGGAGTCAATCGCGAAGATCGAATCACGATGACACCTTTGAGAACTGGATGTGGAGGATCGCAGGCGAGAACTCTGCCTGCAGGAAAAGGGAACGAAAAGTCCGGTGACCAAAAACAAAACTTGGAAAAGGATTATCGAAAAAGAAGGGGACGATATAAGAAATCAACGATAAAATACCCTAACGCTCTTACGGAAAAGAAAAAGTACAATTGTATGACGTTACGACATGTTCTCCTCGCGAGGAAGCATTCTTTCGAGCTGGCACGTTACGATGCCACGCACATTTTACGTTTACGCTGACGCAGCGACCCGGAAAACAACGGAAATGCGAGCATAATTGCTTGTCTTGTACATCAAAAAGTTCTGCCATAGCCTCGATGGCCCAGTTGGTATACGGTCTCTCATTTGGATTGGGAAACCCGGACTACTATTTCTCTCCCTGTTGCATATGGGCTTCCTTGAACAAGGCGATGCGAGGCTAGTATGGACAGGAACTGCTTTATATTGGGGAATCGGAATGGCGTATCATTTTATTCAGTTCTTGCGCAACCCATAGCACCGATTCACAAGGTCCACAGAACCTCCCTCTGTGGTCCTTGAGAGTCGGTCGCGTGGGTTTCAAGCGCCATGTTGGGTTGGGTGCGGCTGCAAAGAGCTGCAGTCAGTCAACTTTTGAAAACATTTGTCTCGACGGATACGGACATGGAAGGAAGGACTCGATCAACTCGGGACTCGCAATCTTTGGGTTGCTATTTTGAATGGAATGGATGTACTAGGTCACGGTGGGAACAGGAATTACGGGCGGTCTACCAATCCCTGCGCAGGAAGGCGGCATCTCTTGGGGGACAAGCCTCACGAGATGCCGGGCTGGAGTTGAGAGAAGGGGGTGTTGGCGTTCCTCCTTGGCGAGAAGCGGTGCAAATGGAGAGGCTTGTGTCTGAGGACCGGGCGATACCGGCAGGGATGGGAGGACCTGGGAAAGTGCCCTGGAGAGAAGGATAACCATAGCTATCGATCAAAACAAAGTATTTGGCTCCAAGTTTGATCTTCCAATGCGTATGAGGATGGGGAAACGGGCTGTTGATGTTGTTCGCTCAGATTCAGGAGGAGTCTGTTGTATTATGCTGCCCACATCTACACGGCCGGGGCCCGCTCCGGCACGCCATGTGGGGCTATGCCGGATCCGGTCCGATAACAATGTCCTCAGATCAACCGTACACGTTGACGTTTTGCGCCGGTGGCATGAGGAGTGGCTTGAGCGACACGAGCGGCACGCCCATCCTGATGACAAGGACTGCGTCTTTGGTAAACTGCCCGATAAGGAGCTTTGCGAACTATCGGGCTCTGAGTCGTCGGGAGACGATGAAGACGGCGAGATGTACCTTCTTCGTTGCTGCGACACGGACAGACCCAAGAAGGCACAGCCACTGGTCATCAACGCTTCTGATACCTACGTTACGGTTCACGACTATCTTTGAGCACTGCACCCATGGCTGATGGGCTTACGTGACGATATCTTGAGGGCGGATAACGTCTGGGAGGATAATTAAGACGCCTGATGACTATCGGAAGCTGGTGGTGGATTTCATACCGCCTAACTCTTTGAAATCTTGGATGAGAGACGGTTTCTCCGTCAGGCCGGTATGATTAAGACGCCTGAACCTGTGGACAAGGAGCTCGAGGACTCTTTGAGGAGGGTTTGCAGACCTGGCGAACCTGAGGAACCCAACTACCAATACATGTACATCCCAGAATGGAACCAATGATTTGAAGCCCCTCGTGGTATCATGCGAAGATAACACCGGGAAGACCTGCCTTCTTACAAGGGCCTACCGAAACACGCCCCTCTCAATCACAAGCATCAGACCAGCCCAACGAATCCAGGACCCTATGACTTTACTTGACAGGGAACCAGCAGGTCACCCTCGGATCATAGCTCTTCTGATTGGGCCCCAATTCTCCACACCGTAAGCTCGTCGACGAGCCCCCGCCGGCATCATAACCCGTGTGCGTGACGCAGTCAAAGCTGGAGACGCCATCACACGAGAACTTGCCAGGACCGCCATCCTTGCTGGCGTACTTGCAGTTCTTCCGGCCGTGGATGTCTCTAATGGAGCTTATGCTTTCTGGCCACGGCTTTGACTTGAGGTCGTCGACGGGATCTGCTTCTCCTATGTGCGGCGCCGTGCAGGTGTCTAATGCTGTAATGCCCCGGGCCATCATCACCCATCTGCCGGTCCGGCTTTGTCGACCTTGTCCTGACGGTATCGCGAGCTCGTAGTAGATGTCGACGCCTTGCGAGGGTTCGGCCTCTTTCGGCTTGGTTGATGTGGTTGCCGGGGCCCGAGAAGTTGACGTCTTGGGCTGTGATGTCGAAGGCGAGGTCGTGGTGGAAGTGTGTGTGGTTTTTGTGGCTGACGTCGATCTCGGACTCGTGGTTGACGGTTGGGAAGATGACTGGCTCGCGTCTTTGGAATGCGAGGCTGTCTTTGAGTTGATGAAAGTCGTGGTATTGGACAGTGACGCTGTCTTTGAGTTGATGAAGGTCGTTGTGTTAGTCGATGAAGCTGCTTTGGAGTTGGCGAAAGTCGTGGTGTTATTCAGTGAAGTTGTTTTTGAGTTGACGACTTTCGTAGTGCTGGTAAGAGCCCCTGATGTCCGAGATGATCCCGTAGACCCGGGCCGGCGAGTGACTGTTGCATTCAAACCACTGGTCGTCGTGATTCGAGGCGGAGAACCCGTTCCCGTCATCCCCGGCCGCGTTGAGTTGGAACCAGCACTTCGAGTCGCAGCGAGAGATCCAGTCGGCTTCTGCGTCCGCGAAGAAGCCCCTTTGGTAGCTGTCGACGCCCCAGACGTGGGTTTTCGGATGGAACACACCTGCCTCGGCGCATTCTTACTCTGGAAGATCTGATTCGACTCGGGAACCCAATTGTCGTACTTGTTGCCGATCTCGCGGTTCTCCCACCACAGCCTCCAGCTGGCCATGTCGTTACAAGTCTTGGCCGGGTGGTACTGGATGAGCAGCTTCCCGCGGACAGAAGTCCTCGCGACATTTTCCTGGAAACCACGACACTCCTTCCGTCTCGCACTCGCCTCTTCCGGCGTCTCCTGCTTTCCTGCCCGGACCCTCTCCATCCGGAGCGTCTCGTACTTCTCAACTATGCGGTTCGGCAGCGATTGGGGCGAGTAGTCGAGGGTCTCCACGGGGATGTCGCCGAGGCTATCTCGTACGATCTGTTTGAGTTTGCCCACCTGGCTCGGGTACCGTATCTGGCCCACGTTGTGGTTCAGGTCGTTCAAGAATTCGGACTCGGGGACGAGTTGGCCGTTGCGGAACCTCTCGGCTCGCACGCGGGGAGCTATGATGTAGGCGCGCGTGCCAATGTCCTGGGTCGACTTTGCGTCGTCTTTCGTATTGTCGTCCTTCTCCTTGACATCACCGAACATCACACCCTCAGGAGCGCGGTCTGGATTCTCCACCATCGTGTTCATCCCGAACTTCATCCACTCCGCTCCAGGCTCGCCGGGGGTGATTCCCTTAGGCAGCATATCATTGACCAGGAACATAAACTCTTTTTGGGTGTAGATTTGGTTCTCCCAGATGTGGCTCACCCACGCCCCGCGCTGGGATACCGCAACCACCGCCGTGCAGCCGTATAGACCCCCAAGAGTGATGGCCGCGACCTGCGAGTCGAAGCGGACGTGGTTAGACGTCGTCATGCCCGCCATCTCCACTCCCACATGCTCCGGTTGGCCGTGCCGGACCCAGACCGGATCGTACCCGCCAAAGAACTCGAGGTCTTGGTTGTTCGGGCTCGGGTCCCAGGTTGTGATGATCTGGAACTCGTTAATGAGGAACCGGTCCCGGCGGCCCTCGGGGTAGTCTTCCGGGTCCGGCCAGTCGCCCTCCACCGGCATGCCGCGCTTGGTCATCCAGGTCGGTTTCTCCACGTCCTTCCACAAGATGACTGGACAGGCATCGCCGCAGTCAGAGACTTCGCACCGCTCTTCTTGGTAGGCGGGACATGCCTTGACCTTGTTCTGCCTGAGTCGTACTTTGGCAGGACCACCGTCACTTCCACTGCCAGCTCCCTCGCCGTCGCTTGACTCGTCATCCTTCGGAGCTACGAAGGTTTGGTCTTCGGACGCCTTCCACTGGTCGCTTCGGTCCCCTAGCTCGCGGTCTTCGATCCACAGACGCCACGCCGCCTGGTCTCTGCAGTCCTCTGCGTCTGCGGGCTGATATTGAAGAAGTAGCTTCCCCCGCGGCGTGGGCCCATAGGTTTCACGCTGGAACCTGCTAAACTCTTCAATCTCCCTGATTAACTCGTCCCCTTGCGGGTCTTTACCGCCTCTCTCCTCGTATTTTTTATACTTATCCATCAACATCTGCAGCGTACCCAGAGGCGGTGAATACGTGATAACCTCGACGTCAATGTCGCCATAGATAGAACTGACCATACTTTTCAGGAAGTCAACCTGATCTTCGTATGCGATCGTGCCATCCATTGCGTTGATCGGGTCAGGAAGGGCAACCTCGTCTGGGAAGAATAACCACTCAGTACCGTCCTCAGACTTCTCCACTCGCTTCGGCTTCTCGCGGGGCGTGAGAATGAAAGCGCGTGTGTTGAGGTCTTCAGAGCTTTTCTTGTCCCTGTTATCTTCATCCGGTGTCGCCACGTCGCCAAACATAGTGCCCGGTGGCCCGATGCGCTCCTTGCCAACCAGATCCTTCAAGCCGTACTTCGTAAAATCCACCACCCTGCGCCAGGGGCTAGTCGGAAGAACTGAATAGAGCCCTCTCCACAGCTCGCTGTCTTCGTCTTCCACGTCTCGCTTCCACTCGTGGGGCATCGCGAACACTGTCTCCCAAACGTGGTTCACAAACGCGCCGCGCTGGGACACGACGATAATGGACGTGCATCCGTAGAGTCCCTCAAGCGCGATTGACGCAACGTCCTTGCCGAAAAGAACATATTTGGACGTGGTTATGCCGGCGAACTGCGGGGAGACGTTGGCTCTGGAGCCGTGCGCGACGTACTGAGGCTCGTAAAGACCGTTGACTGCAGTGCCGCGTTGTCTCCCGATCATCTCCCAGTCTCTGATCTCTGCCATCTGGGCAACCATGAACTTGCTACGGTCCCCTTCGTAGTCTTCCGGGTCGGGCCATTCACCCTCGACCGTCTGCCCACGCTTCTCTAGATCCGCTGTGCGACGTGTGAGCTCCTGTGAACTCGCTGATGATCTGTCTGGCGGCTTTGAGCAGGAAGATCCGTCCCCGCCGCTGCAAGTCTCGGGCCGGCATAAAAACGGGGTCGGGTGGCCTGGCATCGCACTGCAGCCGGTGTTGCTCTGTCTGGGTCGGAGTGGGTTGAGAGCATGGTAACTCTCATTGCCACTTCTCTTGCTGTTACTTGAACCACTCTTCCACACGAAAGTCTGGTCCACGGACGCGGTCCACTGGTCGCTTCGATCTCCGACCTCGTGGTCCTCAATCCACAGACGCCATGCAGCCTCATCTCTGCAGACATCTGGATCCGCGGGCTGGTACTGAAGAAGCAGCTTCCCGCGCGTGCTTTTAGCCAAGAACTCTTTCTGCCAGGCGCCCGCCTCCGCTTCTCTCTCATCCCACCATTCCTTTTCCTCTTCCTTTGTCGCCGGTCTCCCTCCACGTTCTCTCTCTTTCTCAATCGTCCTTCTCTCCCAAGATTTGAACAGATCGGAAGGGAGATTGGACGGCTGATATCCAACCACCTCAATAGGAATTTCTCCAAAGATATCAGAAATGATGCTTGTCAAACCGTTGACCTGCGGCTCATACGCGAGATTTCCCGGTAGCACGAGCTCGTCGTCAGGGAGGAGTTCTTTCCCAGCCCACCTTTCTGGCCTTTGTTTAGGGGTGAAGATGAAAGCGCGCACGCTGATGTCTTGAGGCGTCTTCTGGTTCGGGTCGTCCCCGTTTTCATTCACGTCTCCAAACAAAACGCCATCAGGCCCGAGATCCGGCTTCATGATCATGTCTTCCAGACCGTACATCATATATTCGCGCGCGGAGTATTCCCGATCGTGTGGCGCTTTGTCGTGATATCCCTTACGCAGCGGGCCAAGCTTTCCCCCCAGGAGGGCCAATGACTCCTCGTCTTCTAGCTGCTCTTCCCAGATATGGCTGACCCATGCGCCACGCTGTGAGACTATAACGATGGATGTGCAGCCGTAGAGTCCCTCGACTGCGATTGCGCCGACGTCTTTGCCGAAGCGGATGTAGGTCGATGTCATTGAGCCACCCATTTCTTCGTCGACAACATCTACATCGCCGTGGTACACATATTCCGGCATATATCCGCCTCTGATATCAAGCCCAATTTCGTCCTTGATTGCGTGCCACTCACTGATTTCTTGTATTTGCTCGGGAAGAAACTTGGCGCGATTTTCGGGTGTATAGTCCTCATCTGGGTCGTACCAGAACCCGTGACCCGGCAAGCCGCGCTTGGCCAGTTCCAACGACCGGTGTGCTAGCAATATCTCTTCCGCCGCTGTTTTCTTTTGTATTCGTGGACAGGAGGACCCGCCACTGCCGCCGCATTTCCCGGGTCTGCATAGTAGTGGGATGTCGGTGTGGGTTGCTGTGGACGTGGTTGTCACGGTCGTTGCCGCTGGCGTCGCACTGCAGCCGGTGATTGTGGTGTAGGCACTGGTGACACAGTTCGTGGCGGCAGCTTTCACGTCGCGTCTGGCGTTGCCTCCTGGTTAAATTCACATTAATTTTGCTCAGTTGGTAGTTAAGGTATGGAATAGGGGAGCTGGAAACCTACCACTGGTGATGGAAGTGACTGTGACGGAGCAAAAGACACTTCGGCGGGTTGCTGTGACGGTCGTCGTGCAAGATGAGGTTGACGTCGACGTGGACTTCTCTGTCTCTGTCTTGTCGTCCTTCTTGTCATCGTCATTCTTTTTATCATCATTATTGTCATCCTCGTTGTCATCACCACCCTCGTCGTCTCCGCCCTTGTCGCAGTTGCCAATCTCAATGAAGAAGATTTTGATGCAGAACTCGGGGACCTTGAGTGTGAGTTTAAATTTCGGGGGGAAATCAATGCCAGGGAAGCAGCCGAAGCAGATGATCGGGCGCCCTGTGAAGGGAAAGATAACTGAGAGAGTCAGCGCGGGGAAAACACAAGTTGAGTCGGGTTGAGAAAAGCTTTACCTGGGACGATCGTTGGATCGTTGCCGCCTCCTGGCGATGTGGTAGTGATGATGAAGGGGGTTCTGTGGGCGAAAGACGTCGTTTCGGGATATGGATGTTTGAGGGCTTCTTTGCCAAGGGTGGTGATTATTACCTCTGGCTCTGTTGATGACGAAGAAGTTGCACTAGATAAAGTTGACGAGGGACTGTTCGATGGCGTGGTTGTTAAACTTGTTATGGAACCCGTTGATGAAGGTGTGCGGCTTGGATTCTTGGTAGTAGATGATGGGAAGGGATTTATAATCGCAGAGGTCGCGTTTCCTGGTGCGGTTGGAGTCAAGGCCCGATCCTTCGTCGACGACAGTGAAGAATTCGTCGCCGGCAATGCCGTTGTTGGTGTCAAGTTGGTTCTCGTGGCTTTGGAGGATGTAGATGAGCTCTTCGCTGTGGTCGATGGGACAAGCAACGTAGTTCTCGTCGAGTTGAAGGGGGGTACATGTGTCGTGGTCGACCTCGGTACCGTTGATGGCTTCCTCGTAGAAGACCGCGCCGATGTAGTGTTTCGCCATCCTGAAGACGCGAACGCAGAGCTTTTTGTCGACGAGATTGGCAGTCCATTTGTTGTTGAGACTGGTTTTGTAGGGCTTGTGGTTGTCAACCCCCATTGAGAAGTATGCTGAGTGGGTGGGACTGTCACGAGCTCGCTGTTCGTCTAAAAGTATCCAATGTCAATTTTGTACCTGTGAACTGATCGTATGACTTACCGCTGTAGTGTTATGCCAGGTGAAGTCAATACTTGAAATACAGACGCCAGTGTCACCGCGGCAAGTGGGCTGGACTGGTTCATGAACAAGCGTGGTAGTATTCAAGAAATGGTTGGCCGGGCTGGTGGGATTTTGGAATCTTGCAACAGGCTGGTTTAGTCGTTGCTCATGAAATGCATGGGCCAAGGGCAGAGCCCCGACAAGAAGCATCAGCAATAGCCGCAACATGGCCACGAGTATTCAAGCACGGTAACTTGTGGACGATGAAGTCTGTAGCGGAGTTTGGGAGCGTCTTTTTATAATAACCTTCCCCCAGGCGAAGCCGCAGGGAATAACTAACTCTCTTGACCCCTTACTCTACACATCCCATCACGAGTCTCAGGTCAGTAGTGGCTTGTTCGTGCATTAAAGACGTGCTTGACGGAAGGAATCCCATGACCGATATTTTGTGACCATGAGCGCTTCTCGATGCACTTTGCCGCAATTTTGTCACTTCACTATGTAAAAGTCTTGCTCTGGGTGGTCATGAAACCGCTTCTGCAGAATCCTGTTACACAAGCATACGCCGCAGTTACACATACTTCGCGAAGAATAGGTAGGAGCTTTTTCAGTCTCAGATAACAAGTTGTAAGGGGTTAGCAACAAAGGGATAGAGGAACGATGAATATAGGATTCGAATGGAGCACATCGTAGGTATAAGCTCACACAAAGGCGTTGAAGCAGGTTGGATGTCGTCTGTATCACAAAGTATCCAATGCAGGGATGGAGAATGACCGGGCCAA